TTTTCATTGCTTTCGGTCGTTCAGTAACGCAGTCTCAAAGAACTGCTCCATATATCTATATCTACTTTTTTTTTTTTTTTTTTTTTTTTAGTGAAAGCCCCCAACAGTGTTAGTGGTGCTGATAAGAGCAGACACCACTACCACCCAGGAGACTGCTCCATCTATTGGTGGGGAGCATCACCTGCTGGAAAGCGGGTCCAGCGTCCCATTTTCTACTTTGCTTTACGTCACAAGTACCTCAGAGGGCAGTGGTTGGTGCCCACCTGCGAACACCTGTAACTGTGGTAAAGGTCGCGGTGTGTGACTTTTCTGCAAAGCAGAGTTCCGACTGCATTTGAAACTCGGGCCCTGACTAGACTGCTAAAACGCAGTTTGAAATGTATTTAGAAACTGCTTCTGTGACTGCGCCCTAGTTACCCCTTTTTTTTCCTTTTTTCTTTTTAATAATCCTTGTGTAAACCCTCTATCCCGACGGTGGTAAGAGAACCGTCAGGATTGAGGGTTTATCTGTCGGACTGCTCCATCTATTGGTGGGGAGCGGCAACTGCTGGAAACCGGGTCCAGCGTCCCATTGATACATCTTATAACACACAGATTGCTGTTTATTATTTTCCTGGGGCTGTGGGCGTATCTCTTCTCAGACCTGGGTCTCCGTTGTCCCATGGAGCTGCTAATGACACCCTTCCTCTCTTGGATCCCCTTTATGTATTTGCCCAGCCCTGTTCAACAGCCCCCATCTATTATGTATGGCCCATTTGAATGCCTAAGACCTTATACCCTCTTCAACCTTGTACACATGACCTTCATAAACCTTGAGACATGAAATGCAAACTGCAGGGCTCGCCTTCCAAGAGTGAGATTTGGCAGGTAGATCTGCTGTTGTAGCCTAATTACTTAGTACCTATTTGACAACGTAAGGTGAATGACAACAAACTCAGGTTTCAGGAGACGCAGTGAACAGGTAGGCAGACAGTAACCTAGTATGTGTGGCTGGGGTCATGTGATGCAGGACCTTGTGGTGGGACCTCGTGGTGGCTGCTTTGACTTTCCTTCTGATCTCTCTTTTTTTTTTTTTTTTTTTTTTTTTTTTRAACCGAAAMATCTGTGGCAACCTGCTATTGGAGGTGATACAAGCATCCTCCAATAGCAAGCCGCAGTTATAGATGGCTCCAATCTATTGGTGGGGAGCATCACCTGCTGGAAACCGGGTCCAGTGTCCCACAGACAAGATTGGAGACAATATTCCTGGTGGAACAGCATTGATTGCCCTCTCACCAGGGGATTGACTGCCCGCCCAATTATCAGCTGGGTCACAGCATGTATGAAAATCTAGCCATGGGGAGGGTGACAAACTATCCTCCAATCACCCTAATCCTTCACAGTCATAACCGTGCAAAGCAAACCCTAGGCCCCCTCCGTGCATAAGGCCGCTGCCCAGCTCCATGATTCACATTTTCTGCCAGCGGAGGACGTCTGCCTACCCTCCCTTATCCTAAGCTATTCACCCGGCCAAGATCATTCTCACGAAATTGTTTTTGTCAAATTTCTGGCAGAGGTTAAGGTATTCCACTCATTATGGCAGGGGATTTCAATGCAGCTCCCGATAGATGGCTGGATAGATGGAGGGTTCCCTCCCCCTGCCCAGCATATATAGAGGAGGATGAGAATATTATTCGTAGATTATGTGAGGATGAAAAGCTATTTGACACGTACCGAAGGATCTTCCCGCAAGAGAGGTTGTTTACCTGCATTCGCAACAGTGGTACCCCACACCAATCTAGATCCCGAATAGACTTAATTCTGATGTCACAAGATCTAGATCGGGCACTGTTATGGGCAGCCATCTTTCCCCAAAGTCCGTGGCAAGGGGCTGATCATAAGATGTGTGCAGCCCTGTTGTCCTTTAAGAAAAAAAACAAACCAGGGGAAAGGTTTCTATACAATTCATTCAAGATGTTTGGGATTACTGGCATACTACCATGGATAAACAGAATTTTTACACAACTTGGTTCAATAATGGTTTGGCCTTCATGGCTAAAAAGTGTAACGATTTTCTAAATTACAAGCTAATAAGCGTTTTTTCCAAGAAATGAACATCCAAGAACAAATCCTTAATTATGAACTTGACGATCAACCACAAAATCATACTTACCCAGTTGACATTCAGGAGCTTAGGAATCAATTGCTCAACACCGTTGGCAAGGGTATATGATTAGAGGAAAATTATCACGGCATTTGACCGAGGGACAAATGGATGCCTCATTCTTTGCACTAGCTCGGGCTAGGTCAAGACGTACGACTATTGAAGGACTGCAAGATCCTACTGGAACTTTAGAACCATCTATTTCATTATCCTTAGCAGGAAGCTTAAAAATCGCCTATGATTTTTACAAAAAACTTTTCACTTCTTCAAAAAATATGGTAGAGATACAGGAAGACGACACAGCCATAGAAATTTTCCTTACACCCTTAACCCAAACACTTACTCAAGAGCAAAGAGAACAATTGGAGAGACCCTTGGCCCTAGAGGAATTATGGACAACATTATTACAGATGGATGAGGATAAAACCCCTAGTATTGATGGGTTTCCCAAGGAATTTTGGGAAACCATGTGGCCTACTTTCTCATCGGACTTGTTGCAATTCTTCGAATCAGTTTATGAGTCAGAACAAATGGGGAAACTAGTGAGCCAGGGGGTTCTCACTCTTTTACACAAAAAAGGGGATAAAACAAACAGTGATGTATAAAATATTAGCTAAGACCTTGGCTAATCGTATGATTCCGGTAATGGCAGATATCATTCATCCCTCACAGACCGGATTTATTCATGGCAGACACATTCATGATAATATCCTCCTAATCAATGAGATGATTAAGCTATCTCGTCAATCGAAACAGAATGTTGTCTTCATTTTCATTGACTTCGAAAAAACCTATGATCATGTAGACTGACGCTTTTTAGATGTCTGTCTGAATAAAATGAATTTTAGGTCGAACTTAAGAAAATGGGTGTGGGTCCTTCATACGAATGTCACAACGAGGGTTCAAATTAACGGGCTACTTTCTCCGGAAATTAGATTACAAAGATCGGTAAGACAAGGTTCTGTTTCTTATCATAATGGAAGCTCTAGGGGTCAATCTCAGAACTAATCGAAATTTAAAACGATTGCAGATTTCATGTATCCCAGAAGAAGCTATCCCCATTAGCTCAATGTTTGCTGATGATCTCACAATAATGGTAGAAGCATCCTTGTTAAACATAGAGGAGATCCAAAACCTAATGAATAAATCCACACAAGTCTCTGAAATGGTGGTTAACTGAGACAATAAAACTTAAGGGTGGTGGATGCATTCAAATGGTGACCGTCCTCTGGAGTTTCCAAGAGTT